GGGGCATACAAATCACAAGACTTTAAAGTGTGTACGACTCCACATGATAATTTCAGGGGTTATTTAAAGCTGAAACAGCTGCAATATTAAAGAAGCCAGCATGAATATGAGTTATGAAGCTTCACATTTAGCCACAGGGAAAGGGCAAAAGAAATACATCTTACATTAAAAAGGTAACATTTATATGCTTAAACAAAGCAGGCAGGTCAACTCTGTCATTCTTGAGCTTAGCTTTAGAACGACTGCCAACTCTTGACTATCAACTGTAAATTTAAAGAGTTACGTCAAGGACCGTACTCACTTCTACCTGACTATATATGAAGTAGACACCGTCCAACAGCACCTCTAGCTGCCCAGTGCGAGAGTGCATTTTAAACACGCGGTGATGGATGGACACCATCTTCCAATTCTTAAGGATGCCTTGAGACAGATCTAAACATGTCACAACAAACACACAAAGAGGGTCAACATAAACAGCTTTCAGCAGAGTTTAACTGCAACCAGAGCTCAGCATTGACACACACTATAAACCTGCTAATGATGCTTACCTGTGATGTGATGAAGGATAATCAGAATCAGTTAGCATGCAACATGAGTATGAGTTACCATTCCAGATTGTAAAATGGCTATAGGATAACTTTAGGGTGTCTATAATCCTACACAGTGCTATGGGTAAAAACTGGTAGTAACATTTACCCTGGATAGAAAATCCTCGGTGAGCACAGAAATACTTAAAAATGACCAAATCTGGCATGCTGGATCTCAAGTATAAACATTCACTGCATGCCAACAATCTACTGTGTTTATATTTTTTCTCTTGTAATTCTGAGGTTTAGCAGGCACGTCTATTAGCACACATCCAGAACTCTGTGTTTAACCAATGGCAGGGATTATTCATGCTTTTTTGTTCTGTGTGACTATAAATGAGCGTAGACGGAGCACCCACCTTCTCTGACTTGGATCGTAGTTTCCTGCCCCTGCAAGTGAACCACTGCTGGCTGGAAGACAAAAGATCTCTGGTGACTAATCCAAATTCACGTAAAATAGGAGAACAGCTGTTTCACCAGAAGCCGCGACTGGGAAAAAATTGTATGTAAAATTTTAAAAAGGTGACATACTCTTACCTGGAATTCCTTTGTTTTGCCCTTGTCAGGAACCCCTGCAAGAGCAAGAGGGAGACGTGTTCAAATTCTGGCCTCTGCACTGCTGAGGTGAGAGGATGATTAAAAGAAAACAAACTCTGGCATAGTTTAAAGATAGATCATTTCTGCTCCACACAATGTTTGACATCCTGCACCAGAAACTCTCACAGTGCGAGCAATGAGTGAATCAATTTTGACAACTTGAGCCCCATTCTGCTGTGGGAAAGTGTCTGGATGCAGGAAATAACTGTAATCTAAGAAAAGGATCTCTCTGCTCGTTTTCAAGCTCTCTGGCTCGAGTATTGCTTATTGAGGAGGATTCGATGCAAGTTTTATACCTGCTGGACCTTGAGCGCCTGGCGGTCCTTGTGGCCCAGGAGGTCCTGGAGGCCCTGCAGGTCCCACAACATTGCTTCCTGGAATACCTGGGATTCCAGGGATACCCGGTGGCCCCTGTGGACCTGGGGGACCAGGAGGGCCAGGTGGTCCCGGCACAGGCCTTTTTTTCGCTGTGGAGAAAGATGGAATAAACGGTTAGCACTCAAGTTAGTTTTAATTATAAATCACATCAAATCACTAATTTGCCCCTGCAGCAACTGTGCAGATTGTAACTGCTGATATTAAAAAAGCTACGGAGGCAAGTATTACATTTACATAGATACTGAAAGCTTGTCGCCCACTTTGAGTTAAGGCGGTTTTTGGATTTTGGATGACTTCTCAAGTGCATTTGTAGAAACTTGCAGCAGATAACAGTCAAATGAATGACCATAATAACAGAAACGTATACCGGATTTTGTCATACCTCTTTTTTTCTCTTTCCTTTTTTCCTTTCCAGTTGATTCTGAAAGAAACCGAAGCAGCGTGATTAAGCTTCAAATGCCCTCTTCAACAATTATCATCTCAAATGACACATCGAGCATCCAGATCATTCCATGTAGGTATCCTAAATAGGCTGAAATAACAGATTGAGATGGTGTGCACTGAACACTAGAGTGGAGGTATGTCAGTCTGTGGTATCTTGTAGTGTAGTAATTTGTAAGTGTGGTTTCACCTCCTCTGTATGAACAAGTGCCTTAAGCATTCACAGGCAGTGGAACTGGAGAAGATCATTAGAGAGATACTTTATCCTGCCAAAATCCTTTTCTTTGAATTAAGCCCAGATGGAGAATGCAGATGAAAGTGTGTGTGTGCATGTGTGTTTGTGTGTGTGCGTGTCTCCTCCTTTACAACCATGTGTATGGATGTGCGTGCACGGATGTTGGTGGGGCATCTATGTCAGTGCTTGAAAGACGAAATGCTCTCAGTGTTTGCATCTGCAAGAGGGTGTGTGCGCGCACACGTATATATGTGCCGCGCACAGCTGAAGAATCCTTTTCAAAAAGCTGTCTCGGTTGCTCTTGTGTTTACCATGTCATTATAACTACAAAGGCCATTTAACCTTAAACCCTCACAGTTTGAGTCCCCCCTCAAACATATGGCCAGTGTTTCTCCTCTGGCTAAATGACTGGATGCATCCGCATAGATTTCTCTTAACGAGCAGCCCTATCTGGAATCTGGTGCCCGTTAGGAGTGCCGAGGACGCACACACGTGCGCACATGTGCAAACACAGGACACACACACACACACATCTAAGGCTGAGATTACAAAAGCCTTTGTCTGTGCGCTAAGAGCAGAGGAGAGACCTGGGAATGATTAGTGTTTAGAGGCTCGGGACTTTACTGATTTATGTATAAAGTCTCGAAGGTGAGTTTTTTTTCTTCTAATTTAAACACAATCACTAAACTTGCCCCCAAGTATTCAGTGTCACGAGACAGACATTGGAATGCCTTGTGATCGTGCTGCACTTGTTGCACTCAGACGTGAAACTTCAAAGGCTTCCCTCCCTTTTTTTCCCCCTCTTTTTATTTGCATAGTGCAGATTCTAAACAAAAAGAAAAAAAAAACAAACTACAAAAGCAAATTCAGACATACCGGCCACATCGTTTATCACGGAGCTATTGATTAGCATAAATCAATTCAGCAGAATTAATAAAAGCTATGCTCACGCATGGTTGCCGGTTCTCGAAAATGACTCACAAAGTCAGTATGCTTTTTGTCATCTGCTGCGATATTAATGTCACTGATAACACAGCTGGACTCCAAAGTGCATAACTGCTTTGCTGACAGCTTCAAACAATAAGAAAAATAAAAAAAATTAAATTACATTTTAAAAAAAATGGTGGACCTAATGTTATTTTTAGTGGAGGGGCGGGGGATTGGGGGGGACCCGGGCTTCGTTGTCTGTTTCAAATTGGTGCAGCCCTCCCAAACTCCTTGTTGTCCTTGTTTGCCATCCAAGTAATAATCAATCCCATTCCATTGAATCTCTTGCTCTATAAACACGGCAACATTATGCGGTGGCGCTGCTTTGTTAAGTAAGCACAAAGCAATAAAACATCAATTCCACACTCACACACACACAAAGAAAGAAAGAAAGTGAGAAACCATTAGCAAACAGTTTTCAAAATTTAAGACCTCTAAGCCTACCATAAGGCAGTTAATTACACTGAATTGAGTCCCGTTCAAGCAAATGCGTGTTACAGAAAGCATTGCTCAACAGTTGACTTGCTAGTTGCCAAGTACATATCCAGAAAGAAAACAAACTGATGCAGGTGCAACCAGAGAGCTAAAGTTAGTTTTTCTCTTTTTTATGATTAATGGAAAATAGATGATGTGCTTGAAAAAAACCCAACAAAAACAAAAAACAAAACAGAAGACCAACTTAGGAGGCAAAAAACAGTCTTGTGTATCAAGGCGTAAGGATCAAAGAGACAGTAGTATTAAAGGATGTCAAATGCTTATAACACACGCAAAAAAAGGGCTGCACCTGTTTCTGGTTCCTTGCCGGGGCTTCTTTTCGCTCGCTGAGTTATGCCCCTGTTATCCTCTGTGCCGTGGAAGTCAGCTTTTCTGTACAGTAACTTCTCCTGGTGGGACACAAAGGAAAATATCATTAAAGACGGAAAATTACGCACGGAAAAAGGTGCCACATCTTTTGAGCACGCTGCGCCTATTGTTACCAGCTGCTGCCACCTTAGATGAATTCGGTGAACCCAACACAAAAGGGCTGAATGCTACAAAGTTTTTGAGAGCGAAACTCTTGCTACAAGTGGCCTTTTCTATTCTTGGGGGGTATAATGTTTGCACAGACACAACTTGGGGCAGTTGAAAAGATGCGAGACTCTGTCAGCCAGCACATTCACATGCGGCCAAGTCATTGTCTGTCCCATTTGGGCTGTAACGCATCCTGTAACCCAAGTCACTTTTGTCTGAGTTTCTGATGTTTGAGACAGTCACCTGGACACGACTGCTTCTAAAATTCACCTTTTTATACAAAAGGAGGACATGAACTGCGGTTAATCTGAGAGCAATACCCATTCATATGGCACCTGGTCCCAGCCCCATTCAGTTGTGGCATGAATAAGCTACAAAAAAATTGTCAAAGGAAAAGGATCTGATGTAGCTGGTCTGGTCTGAGCTCATCCCTAAAAACAGGGGAAGTTGCACTACAGTGGCGGGACGTTCCCATGGGCAAGTGAGCGGCGGGACAAACCGCACGTTTGTTCATCTGGGACTGGTTCTGGTCGACCTACATTCACATGAACTCTGTAGGACGCACTGACCCGACTGTAAGACATTCGAGACGTGTCTGGTGCTGACAAGGCAATGTTTCGTGCTAAGGATTTAGAGTTTAAAATATAGATTGCTCCAAGTCGCTTTCTGTTTGAACAGCCAGTTTGTGATCACATCTTTGGAGGATTCCCAGAAAACAAAAAACAACAACCAAAAAAAAAAAAAAAAAAAAACCCCTCGAAAACTGGCACTGAAAACACAAACGAGACCACCCAAAGCCAACTCTTTTCATCGAGCCTCACAGTAAACGAGACAGCTTTTTGGTCACACTTTGGGGTGTCAGCATAAATAAAAGGTAATAGCCCGAGACATTAAGGCTCTCCATTGCTGACAACTAGACAGCTTGTAGAGAGCTGGACATCTGCTCGGTGTTTGGATAACTGACATCTACCAAAGCAGTGACGCATGCGGCACCTTAGCACGGATCAAAAGATAATAAATAACCACGTATCGGCTCGCCTTACTGCTTAGAAGCAAAGCAGACAAGCTTACCGAAAGACACTTTGGCCTTCCTTGGGGGGCCTACCCCAGTAGTGCCCAGGATGATATATTCCCTGTTTCCATCTGTGACACTCGAGTAAACATCGTTATTAAGCCCCGATGACATGTAAGCTCCTTCTCCTGAAAGCAGCGTGAACTCCCAGGGTCTTTTTGTGGGCCTTTACAAGGCGGAGCTGCTGCAAAACACGAAAAGAAGTTATGGTTCGAATTTCTTCTATACCTCGTCTCAGATGTGGGAACCCTCCTTTTCCCCCCCTCTGGATGGGGGATGAGATGTATCATGTCAAACACCCGATGCCGACTGTGTTAGGCAAGTTCGAAGCAGTTAACGTCTACATCCCTGACCAGCTGCCAGCTGTGTCTGACCTTACGAGCACGGGAATTCCAGCTTGATGGAGGACTGTGTGTTGGAACAGTTTATCGGCGCGCAGACCTCCAGATGTTCCTGCGAGCGGCAACGTTTGCTGTTCATTTGGTGCGCAGGTGCCTCCACATCTCCTCTCCAGCTGTTGGCATGGGGGGGGGGCTTTCACCTCTCAAAGGATTTGTGGTGTATATTCAACCATATGGCATTACACTTTCTTCTGTTCTGACAGCCAAACACGATTCAACAGCCAATTTCTGGCCCGAGATTAAGCCCCAGCAGAACAACAGAAGACAAACAAGCAGTCTACGGGGCTACTACCAAACTGGTGCGCCTTGTACTTTAGATGAAGGCAACAAAGTGATTTTTTTTCTTCTCTTCCTTCCATTATATGACTATGAGAAATGGTTTTTCGCCCTTTTTTGCTTCATTTCACTTCATTACAACATTTACAGCCTTCGTACCCTTCAAAGGCACGCAGAGTTACAGTAAATCAGGATGACAATGTGTTGGTATGTATGCCAAGTGCCAACTATTGAGTAAACCATTCTTTTTCAGCGCACGGGGAGAAAAAAATGCTATTAATTAGAGGGCTTTCAAATCTTCAAAGAGTGGGGGTTGCTGTTGCGTGCAGATTCCCCGTTGCTTCGTGAGGATATGACTAAAATTCAATCACCCCAGGGATGTGTAATTTTGGGATAACAAGACTTCTTTTCTTGCCTTATTAACACTTACTATTACAAACTGCATGTATTCTTACCAGTTAGCCTCAAAAGGTCCTTGACATTTGCAGCATTTCAAGTTTAATGCAAGAAATAAAATGCTGCAGGTCTCCAGTAGCATTTTTTACTCACAGTTTTCCACAAATACAGATTTTCTGGCTGCAGCGGTGTCTGTAAATCTTGCAATGTCACTAACAGTTAGTGACCGATAAGTTGTAGTTGAAAATTTGATGCTGCAAAGCTTGAGAAGGTGAAACTGAGGGCTGTTTGGGTGTGGTTGCGATTTACATGCCCATCACTGGCTGAATGGGCATTACCAAGTTCGGTGGCATGCATACTCCTGAGAGCTGATTGCACCTAATATTCCTGTGATTTGCACTCCTGGGTCCGACAGCGACTTTGCGTTTTCTTCTTAAAGATCACTTAAAGAAAAGTATCCTCCCCATAGCCCGTATCAGAGCCCGCTCTTTGAAAGGCCATGTGTTTTTAACCATAACTTCGGTAATTTAATAACGCTATGCATAGATTGTCATCTGAAAATCTGTGGAGCTCAACCTAAGGGAAATGTAGCCTGTCAGCAGCCAATCACTTTTCAGATAGTTGCAACATTCGCTGGCAAACCTACTCCTTGTTGAGTGCTGAGAAGGCCTTGAGAATTTATTATTATGGTGGATGTTTGCAACTCTGGACTCAATCTTTACTGGGCGTCTACGCCATCTGTCTGTCAGGACGATGCAAGCTTATACGGAGCAAACGCTCGCAGCCTCGCCGTTTCTGATGTTTCTGCTCTCACGACTTGTGCTTTTATGTCTGCGCTGATTGATCCCTGATATGTCGGACTGCTCTCAGCGCATGTACGATACTGCTGTTTTAACCAATTATGCAGCGGTCACAATTAAAGTAGATGTGGGTGACAGCCCACCCGGGCGCCCTAGAGCTTGTACGCTGCTGAGGACTTTGCGTCCCATCAAACTGACTTTTTTAATAGCCGTTAACTAGACTCCAGATGTTTTAGCATCTGTTCTTCGGGGGGACTTTAAAGGCATACATCAGAGAGGAAAATTATTTCATATAATAGCTATAAGAAAAGTGTTAGGCTCAAGAGTAAAACGCTCTCTGAGCTTACGTTTTGAAATGTTTCTGTGGACGTTTATTACATTTCACTCGCTGCTGTAAGGTGAACGAGGGTCAGGCTGACTGAGGGAGACACTTGCTCTCGCTCGCCTTACATCACATTTGTGGCACAGATTTTAGCGCCCCACACACATACATACACACACACACCTGGGAAGGGGATTTTTTACTGTTGGGAACTATGCGGGGTCTGCTGGACAGCTGGGATTTACTGCCTTGCTCACGGGTATACCCACTGCGACTGGTGAGGTGACGACTGTTTGTTCACTTTGTGGGCCCAGATCATAAATGAACAGATCATCGACTGATCTGAAAAAAGTGAGAGCTTTTAAATTAGTGCTTAAAGTTTAACTGTTTCCAAAGAAACTAAATGAATTTCTGTTACAAAACTCTTCCTATTTCCACTTGTGGTTTGACTGCATAGTTTAGATCTCTTAAGACCTATAAACAGTGTCAGCTTTGACTGCAAAACAATATTGTTTCCAATACTGTGCTTACATCTGAGAAAATGAAGATTGTAAAATGTTTTTTTTAGTAAAACATCCAAGGAGATACAAATAGTCCCACACAGAGTCTGAACTCAGTTTGATAGCTTTTGGTTATTTTCTTTTTTCGCCTCGCATCACCTCACGGGCCTTTCCTCCCCTGTTCAGGGAGAGATTCTGGAAACCGATTACACACTTGTAGTATCACGGCTTGTACAGCCAAGATTCTTATCTGGAAGTTTTAGCCACGATCACGACCTTCAGATCAGGTGTGCATCTGCAAAAAGAAACCGCAAAGAGAAGGCCAAGCCTCAGTAATAACTCAACTTGTGTTTCCTTTCAGTGGAAAAAATGACAAGCGTTGGCAAGATTAAACATTCAAGAAAAAAAAGCATTACATACTAACTTAAGAGTAGAAGGAAAAAGAAAAGAATAAATATATTTATATCATTTAAAACTAGTTTAGTACTAAGACAGCTGATTTTCACTTCAAACAACTTTATTCTTCCTTGATATCATGACTTCAACTAACCAAAAAAATAATAAAAGAAAATCATCTTTTCATTAATTCATTGTGGCAAAATTTGCTCCCGACACAACAACTGCAGTGGGACCTATCAGAAAGACTCTGTCGCTATTCCACAGGTGTGTAACTGACATCAACATAAAGGCTGACTTCAAAGACAGGTGTGGTTATGCTCGTATGTATGAAGTATTACGTACTAACGCCGCAACCACTCTGTACCTGGGTGTCACGGTTGGTGTGATGCCAATGCGTTGGTGCTCTCTAGTTTTGTTTGACACTGACCAGCCCTGCTGAATGGCCGGATGTTAAGGTTGCTTTTACATGCCGACAGACCACACCGCTTGGGTTTTTCAAGACACAATTCGACCACAAAACAGGTCCATCTGAACGGAGGCTGCAGCACTGCACTTACGTGACAACAGAGCCTCGCTGTATCATATATGCTGTTGGAAAGCTGGCCTGTGTTGGTATGGACCTGATGTTACTGTGCTTTGCTTTAGTTTTCTCAAGGCATCTCATGTTTTTGGTTACACTTATCTGTATATACCTGGCCATCACGTGAAATTTCCCCAATGCTCCTGAAGTGCCTTTGATGAAGAGCTGTGTGAAAAATCCAATAAACAATTTTAACCCTTCCCCCCCCCAAAAAAAAAGAAGAAGAAAGATCCTTCAAAGGAAATGCCAGAAAAGCTAACAAGTGTGGCTGCTGCGTCTAAATGCCACATGCTCCTGTTTCTCCAACTATGTAAACTGTGGGATGTGTAATCAGAGTTGTTTAATGCAGACATCTGGCAAGGACAGCATCACAGCACTGTTAAATATTTACAGCTGGGCCACAGTCTTTCACCTCATGAAGCGTCACCATCTGGGCCAAATACCAGGCCCATCTCACTCGGCTTTAACTGGGGGAAACCACTACTATCTAAAATAAGCTTAGCAAAGAGGACACACAGAGGACTAAATTAATAGGCTGAGCTCATGAAAGGAAAATGTTAACGGAGCAAATCCAAATATGAGCAATGGATCTCATTAATCTTTCCTACAGAGGAATAAATGCGCCCATCCTGGATAACTTGAATTCCTCTGGGTGGCTATCCAGCTGACAACTCTGCACAACTAAATGTCCAGCCAATGCCCCCCTCCCACACAGAATATTATTTTCTCTGTTAAAAGGTTACACAACTGCTGACATATGAGCTAATTGAGCAAGCAATGCAAAGTTGAGAGGTGCACTCGGGCCTTTTGTGCTGATGAAATTAGGGAGGTAGTGTGTGTGTGTGTGGTGGTGTTGTGGTGGTCTTAGTGGTTAGTGGGTTGTTGCCAAAAGCCACAGACAACACAAATGACCGTTCAGTCAGCCCTGCTGCCAAGGAAGAAAACACACACAAGAAGCGGGGCTGGCTTTGCTCCAAGTACCAAGTACCCTCATCTAAGGTCCTGATGAATTTACATCAGCCCTTGGGCTTTGCACCTGCTGGTGATCCAGTTAATTTTCTGTCCACCTGCTCCAGCACATAGCCTGACCTGCCTCTGCGATTCCAGCTGGGCAGATTGCCTAAGTTCTGAGTACTGGACTTCTGTCTGCTCTGAGAACGAGTCAAATTGGGTTAAAATGTGGTTTTACTTAATAAAAAAAATGCGCCCATTATATTAATCAATGAGTTTACTGAAAGTTATTTTCCCCCCCCACAAAAAAATAAAAAAAATAAATAAATGAAAGAAAGAATTTTCTTTACTCAACAAAGGCAAAAATCGGAACCACAACTGCCCTAATGCTTGTTCAACTTATGCCCACCCTGGATGTGTTTACCTGAACCGGAGACACTGGCCAGGTGACAAGATTTAAAGCCTACACCTTTTAGTGCGTCTCAGTCCAGAAAGGCGGAATGACGCACACGAGGGCGCAAATCCATCCTTTCAAAAACAAACAAAAAAACCCCCCCAAAAAACCCATACTTGTCTGGAAACTGAGCTGATAAAACGCCGTGACAGGCTACTGTAAAAGAAGTTGCCCAGAAACATGCCGTAACAGCGCAGACACAAAACCTGACACCGTGATACCGGGAACAGGAGGACCGAGCGGAGGTGAATGAACACGAACAGCCTCCGCGTGAGGAATGACAACAATGTCGCCTTAAATAAGCTCCGGTGTCTCTTCATTAAGTCTTTGTTTTTTGTTTACCTCACGACTCTCTCCTCCGCGGCTGCTGCTGCTGCCGGAGTCCAGTCGGACTGGGTGGCCGAGCGAGAGCACCTCCGCCGGGTCAGCCAGGTCACTCCCCGCCAGTGTCATCACTGAGTCCCGCTTCTGGTGAATAATTTCCCTTTTGACCTGGGACCGAAGGTCCAAATAGCAGACGAGGGTGACAGCGTGAAGGGTCAGCGACAGCAGGAATAATCCCAGGAACACAACGCTGCTGCTCCGACTCCTGCACTTCTTGCTGCACGTGCACGGAGCCGCTATGGGCATCACTTTGTCCGGGAAATCCTCCGCGGATGAACCATCGCGTGCCATTATCGGACGGAGGGGCGAGTCATATGCTCCTTATCTCGGCATAATCGGCTCGTCTGTCTCGCGCGGGCCGCGGCTATTCATTTACATGGAGACTCATAGGTGCAGCTGCAGCAGGTCGGTGCAAACTTCTCTGAGTATCTGTGGTAACAATGAAAACCCGCCCACCTCTCCTGTGATTGGTCCGGCGCAATTAGCAGCCCAGAGGTTGGGGGGGTGGATGCAGTAGGTGCAGTGGTTGAGCGACACCCGATGGAGAGAAGGAGCTACTGCAACGCCTCTGAGACAAAGATGTGAGAATTTCTTCCCCCGCTCTTTTCTTATGTTTGTTGTTCAGTGTTGTGTGATTATTTCATGGACTTCTTTCAGTGATTTATTATATCTTACCCGAGTGTGAGTAGGAAAAGGGGGGTTGTCACCGGTGTAATGTATAATGTTTATATGTGTGCTTTTTTAAAAATGTGTTTTAGGGGTTTGGACATGCAATTTTTCACTGGCCTGCTTTGTTTGGCACTTGGTTTTGTTATGTGGGTGGCACATGAAGTGGTGGTCCTGTGTGAAGAACTGATTCAGAAAATACTGCCCGGTATTGTTATTGAAAGAGAACAAGCGGTTGATGGTTACACTGCAATCATCAAAGAGTGGAAAAGTAGTACAAATTATGTTCTTAAACATTCTACAAATTATATGATTATAGGTTAGTGCATCTGAACTCTGTCAGGCTCAACATTATGATAGTGGGCCTGGAAGGGAGTCGGTGTCACGGTGAGGTCAGCGTCACTTTGTGTACAACACCATCAAATAATCTAAACATGTGTCATTCGGCTGGATCCGGGGAACGGTTTGACATTTGTGTTACAAAAATGCCCGCTGAGAACAATGCTTTAGGCTGAATGTGGGCTTTGTGGTTTGCACATTTTCAAAATCCAAACTCGACACTTTGATCTCCAAGAACCAGAGGTAGCCTGTGAATCTGGCCGTCTTCGGGCCCCAGGATGATGAAACCTAAGCAGGGCAGAGACTCGGAGGCCTGATAGATCACCTCGTTAGATTAGTTTTCCGGGCAACTGCCGCCAAACATCTGTCTTTATTTCACTGGGACAAACCCTGACATTTGTGTGCACTTGACCTATATGGAGGTAAACTTTTTCAGGCTAGGAGACGCATACTAGGTCTCACTCGATATTACAGGCTAAATAACGATGAAAAGTGGCTTTTGGAATTCCAATGAATGGTATTTCATCACTGTGTACTCTCTCTATATATATTACTGTGACGTTTACCACTGTACAAATATAAGAATCTATTATTGTATTTCTTTTGGTTCAGCCAATTCCCACTGCCACTATATCATCACGTTTTTTCCCCCATGCACAATTAGTTTCCTTTCTCCAGCTCATCTAGAGGAGAAAAAAAAGTGATTCTAGTCAGCTACCACTGAAGGGCAGCATTGCCAAGCCATAAATCAATAACGCTGCATTCCAGTACCCTCATAAAGTTGAACTAAAAAAACAAAACAAGTAACAAACAAACAAAAAAACCCAGGGCCATGCAAGTTGCATATTAACATGTAAATACATCTTGCATAGCCTCATATAGCATCTCTGAGATTGTGTCCTCAGCATCATCCCCTTTCTCTCCTGAGAAGTCATTTCCTCATTGTTAGCATACGATAGTGAAATTGAAGAGAGAAAGATTTTCAAAGTAACCCTCATAGGAGCTGTGACTGAGGGCTCAGCCTAAGCACGTTTGCCACGCTTCTCATCCAAGCAGCACGCACAATGACTTTTAGAAGCAGATGATTTAGGGCTGGAATAGTTAAGCGCACACACTTCCTGTATTTTCAGACAAATGGTCACATTTTAAAATGTTTTTTTATTCTATATAAATGTATATGAAGGATTCCCGTAGGTTATTTATTGCATTATTTAAAAACTAAACAAAAAAACTTATTTGCTTTTGAGGAGGCCTTAGCTAAAGGTCAAACTCAACTCAATGCGCCTATCTTCTATCCCCTGCCTTGTTTCAGACAACACAACTCAACATTAAAGCCTGTGACAAATGAAACTAGTTTTATCGTGATTGGGTTTTTTGGCATTGAAAAGAGCAGGAGTAATTCGTATAACGTCCTCCGGGCTTCAATGCGGCATTCATAAATGGTGTGCCACTCTATCCTCTCTGAGCTTATAACAAGATTTAGAGGCTTTCCCTGCCAGATGATAGAGTTTTGCAGAAGGAATAGGCGCTCTTATATTTTGCCACGGAGAGTTGAGCAGTTGGGCTGTGGCTCGTGGCTCTGGGAGGCTGCTGGAAGATGCTCTTGGCTGAAGAGTTCCTCTCTAGTCCTCTGATAAGAACGCAAATTCAAATCAACTTTCATTTGCTGTTAGGAGGACTCAAATTTGAGCTAAAACGATTCAAACCCAACAGTATAATGCCACTACACGCTACGGTAAATTGTTTTGGACCTCTCCACCACGTACATCACCTTCTCAGGAAGGACTTGCTGTTTCTGCACATTGAATTGCAGAGGTGTAACCTTGACTAATTGATACACTGTGGGATTTGATTTCCTACCTATAAATCTCCAGTAAATTGGACCATCTCTGCCATTTCCCCGGACAATGATTCTTCCACTCACATTGCGGGTGTCTATCTTAAGAGTCCTTATCAAGATTGGAGCTCTCTCTCTCTCTCTCTCTCTCTCTTGCGCTCTGGTCTTTTTGTACTGTGCTGCTTTTGTTCCTTTACCTTTCTCTCTTTTTCCTTTTCTTTCTGTTTGCTGACTGCTGTGTGCAATTCAGTACCAATCCGGTGTGAGTAACTTAATTGATTTTTTTTTTTTTATTCCACAAAGAATCGCTTGAGTTTAGTGGCCTTTTTAGCATGTAAAATGCTGTTTTGTGTCTTTTCTCAAGGCATTGGTGTTCAGGGGAAACAATGCTATTTGGACTTATTCATTAACAGGACTTGTTTTTTTATTGTTTCGTAACATTTCACCTTTATTAAATGTGGAGTAGATAAAGACAGGAAACACGGACTGAGAAAGGAGAGTATGGCATGCAACAAAGGACATATACAGCAAAGTAGTAGTATTAACAGAAATTTACTAACTCTTTAATAGATATTTATTACATATGTAGTAATCCAGACAACAACAAAAACCATAAATTGTACAGTAAAAGCTTTCACATTAAAATCTAAAAACATTCTAAAAATGCTGCACTCTCCCTAAAAATAGACTTTTACAAATAAAAAATGAAGATTAGGATATGCAATCCAACTCTCTTAGAATATTAAATTATTAGAAATTCTTATAAATTAACCAATCATCATTGGTTGATTAGTCTCTTTATAGCAATTCATGATGTGGTTTTATATGCTGTTTGATATCAAACATGATCTTAAACAGTATTTTTGAAAAAGAAGATGAGAACAGCATAAAAAGAAACTATTTAAAAAAATACTTCATATAATCTATGTACACTACTGTGCAAAAGTCTTGAGTCACCCCCCGTTTCTTTATATTTTGCTTCAGAGGATTTTTAATCTTTAGTGGTATTGAGGAATAGTTCAGTAGCAAAAGTTTGTTTTGTCTTTTTTTGACATTTCCACTCATTTTTAATCCAGTCCTTGTATCTGACCATTTTCAGATAAATGTTTTTTAAACTACATAACACAGATCTATGAATCATTAAGCATAAAAGAGGCACATAATGTAAGGAATGAGCCAGTGGTGTGTCTAACCTTGCCAGAAAACTGATCAAATAACCAATTTTAACCTCCTAGGACCTGGTGTCCACATATGTGGACATCACATTTTGGGTTATTTAGACTAAAATACTCAATTTTGCTCTACATGGGCCTGATATCCACTTACGAGGACATTATACTGCCACTGTTCTATCAAAATTTGAAACGAATATCCTCATATGTGGCTCTTATTTTTCTTAAAAACAAAAATAAGGAAAAAAAAATCTGGTAATTCATTGTTTTTACATTCATCGGGCCCCAATATGCCCAAATATAAAGAGAAATTAAAAATGCATGTCGTGGAAGAGTTCGGGTCTTAGGAAGTTAAATGGTATCTCTAGATACTTTCTAACTAGCAGCCTTTCTCAAAATATTATTATTTTTGTACAAATTTCTTTAGTTGAATCCATGAAAAATACCAGTTTCACAGGTATAAAATAGTATTTTTGCACCAACAAGGTGATGCTCGAAGAACTAAAAACTATCTTTAAAAAAGAAACTGGACCAATGGAGTGGACCAAATGAAGAATTATCAGCGCTATAAAACTATATACATTATCTATAAAACATATATTTAAGAAAAGGAAAAATCCAGCAAAACCCTGACACAAGACTAAAAATGCATCTGACCATTAAGGTGATCCAACTGCTGTTCACCAAAATCTCATCAGAATTGGTCTCAGTGGAAAGGTGGCTGTCAAGAAGCCATTCATAATGAAGGAAAGCAAGGAGAAAAGGTTGAGGTATACCAAATTACACAAGAACTGGACTGGGAAAATCAGTATCAACGAGTCTTATGGAATCCAAAGGAGGTCAGAAAAGAGACACAGCATGAGGGTCTAGATTCATCTGTAAGACATGTTGGAGGCTCATGGTCATGGTTTGCAAATCGATTGAATTATGAGCACAATAATATTTTGATCTACCATTCAGTACCATCTGGAAAGTGTCTTATAGGCAGTGGCTTCATTTTCCAGCATGACAACGATCCCTAATACATTACCAGTGCAGTGAAAGCATACTTGGATAGAAAAATGTTTAGTGCATCACTATCAGGATACATGGATTGGCCTCCCCAGAGGTTGTACCTCAACATTAATGAAGCAGTGAGGGATCATCTTGAGAGAAAACTGACCAGAAGTCAGCCAACATCCAAAGAAGAGCTTTGAATATCCTTCAAGAAGCCTGGAGAACTATTCCTGAAGATTACTTAAGAAAGTTCAGCCTGTGTTGAAGAATAAACGCAGTCATATCAAATTATTGACTTTTAATCTTGTTAGAATTCTGCAAACTCTGCTTTTGTCATATATACTGCATTTCCATGTGTATTTGCACATTTCATCAAATCACTGCACGTATTTCCCATTTTT